ATTTATTTTTTATTTTTTAATAACCGTTGTTGAACAGCCAACCCAATTTCATGGATTTACGACTACTAATGTTCAACTCCGTAGCCTTGTAATTTTGAACCCAATCCAGAAGACAAAGGAGCTCCTGGATCGAGTATTGGGAGAAATTTGCCTTCGTGGAGGACTTTTTGATGGAACTAACCAGCATTTGCGTTACACGGATAGGAAGACCACGAGAGCCTCCCACGGTTAGCCTGACGGCAAGGGGACTCTAACCCCTGATTCGTCTATCACTGAGGATATTTCCCGTCATCACTGTGGTCGGTGCAAGCCGGATGCGGTACAAGAGATCGTGACCATGTACAAGAGGTTTTGGGTTCGATCCCCGCTGGCCGAAGACTCCCCGTGTAGTAAATGGGGACTGATGCGGAATTCGTATCGACTGGGATTCGTACCCGGTTCGCCTCATTGGAAGGCGAACGCTCTATCCCCTGAGCCATCGTGACTCTTATTTTTCACTTTGAAGAGTGCCTAGTTGGTAAAATGCAGATTATCTAGGTAGTTTGAAGTTTACCTAGATAATTTGAGAAATGAAACAATTTTTTGGCACTTCAATAGTTTACCCTAGATCTGATTTCTACTAGCGGTAAGGTAACATATACGTGGCCTAAATTACAAGAACGTCTTTGTCCATATATTTGTAGTAAATTGAATCTTGTGTTAAAGCGTAGATAATGCAAAAATATGTGTGCACATGTATCGTATACCATAGATTTATGGGCCGGGATGACCTGGTTGGTAAGGCACTGGGACCATGTACAAGAGGTCGAGGGTTCGATCCCCGCTGGCCGAAGACTCCCCGTGTTGTAAATGGTAACTGATGCACATTAAATCTGTCGAGTCGCAAAGGTCTCCATGTTCCCATAACAAATCCTACCTCTGGGGGTATTGATCCAGGAGTTTCCTTGTCTTCTGGATTGGTTAAAAATTCCAAGGCTACGGAGTTGAACATTAGGAGTCGTAAGTCCAAAATTGGATCTGCTGTTCAATGAGGGTTATATATATAATAAATAAAAAATACCACAGATTTATGGAAAATGGAGACTGTCTTTGCATTAACATGTTTTTCTTTGAAGCATAATGCAAGAAAATCAATTTCAAAACTTTGTTTGAAACAGTTATTTAAGAAATCGACTTGTTATTTTTGGAAGGTACATGTTGCAGTCTATGTACTACTACATCTCTATCAATGTTATGCGGGTCCAATGACTTTAAATTTTGATTTAATTGCTTTTAACTGATGATCTTTAACTGGAATGGCGGTATATCTGCATAATTTCACCACTGCTTAACAATCAGCAATAAAATACTACATTTTCGAGACCGTTTACAAATGTGTGAACTGCAAATAAGCCTCTAAAATTGAAAGCCCTAATATTATCGATTCCTGCTTTTTACATATAACATTATGTAGAATTCTATTATTTAGGCAATGTTTTGCTACTTTTGACTGCGCTAAGAATGGTAATAAAATCGGATAAGTATTGTTAACGAGCATAATCTTTTAAATCTAAAAAATCCATTATACATATTACTACTGCTGATCTGTTACGTGATGTGATTATCTAAATTAATGGTTCGGAAAATACCGAAAAAAGTCAAACTTTAAAGGCAGGACAAGGCTATTATTTTTACTTTAAGAACTTTACTTTTTAAAAAGTTAGAATAAATTAAAAGTTTGATCTTAATTTTTTGACAATTATTATCGAAAATAGGTCAGTGTACGTCAAATGGTTTGATGCAGTGTTTCCCAAAGTGTGGTACACGTACCCCCAGGGGTACGGGAACAGTTTAGCGGAGGTACGCGTTCTTATGCGGAATATCTTGCAACAAACGAAAATTTCAAAAAAATTTATTTAAAAACAAATCTAGCCATGAAAATTTACGATTACGTATTTTTCTATAGACTATTTTTTGCAGAGTTAACAGTTAATAAATAGTCGTGTCAACAGCCAGTTGTGATTTTTAAATTTGTGCAATTTTTTTATAGTAAAAAATTCACTTATTTTTTTATTAGTGGTACTCAGCGTTTCGAAAAATTTAGAAAGGGTACACAAAAGTCATAAGTTTGGGAAACACTGGACTTTAATGGACGAGAGTTACCCAACTTCTTCTCATGCCTGATTTTTAAATATATCAGCATAAGTTAAACTTGCAAAGTTTTAGACATAGAAACCAAACATTTGCACTAGTAAGATGTGCCTAATGTGCTTGGACAAATTATAAGAAAAAGCTAAATTCAGTTGTAAATGGGCATTGCTAGGTGACTCCTGAAGATTTTACCCCAAGATTCTGTATAGTACCCTGTATTTTACTGATAATTTTTGTAAAATATATTGGGACTTCTATAAAGTATCGATGCTTTTGCGTATCACGCAAAATCAAGTCGCAACATCTTGACAGCATTTCTTATACTTACGAATACAATTTGTTGCACAAGGGCCGGGATAGCCTGGTCGGTAGGGAGCTGGGCCCATGTTCGAGAGTTCAAACCCCGCCGGCCGAAGACTCCCCGCGTAGTAAATGGTGACTGATGCACGTTAAATCTGTCGAGTCGCAAAGTCCTCCATGTTCCCATAACAAATCAATACTTCTGGGGGTTCTGGATTGGAGATCGATCGTTCTCTGATTCAGGTCAAAATTACGATTCGTGAATAAATGAATGGATGTATGAATGGGTCCGCCCTATGAACAGGTGTGGCAGGAGTCGAATTCTCGGCAATAGATGGCGCCACTAGAAAACAAGAACAATTGCATCCCTTGCCTTAATGGCCAGCGACAACAGCCAAGTTCATAGTTATTTATCCAACTTTAACAGTGCATACATTGATTTTGAATGAAGCAATATTTTAAAACGAGTCAAAATAGCTCAACAGCTAAGTGGACATTTCTAGCTAATAGACATATTTTCTTACTAAACTATTAAAATAAATAACAATTCTTTCGCTTAGCTCCTCATTTAACATAGCAAAGTTCATGAAGAAAAATTCTTTACGATAGCGAGATAGTCGTGATGTTTTACGTAATAGCTCCCTCGTCTTCTGAGTTCGGTCCAAAACTAAAAATATGCTATAGATTTAATATTAAGTTTAAAGCACTATATTTTAAAGCTAAACTGTGAATACATCCGAAACAAGTAGTAGTAGTACTTTATGTTGCACTAGAGCTAAACAATGGGCTATTGGCGACGGTCTCGGAAACATCCTTGAGGATGATCCGAAGACATGCCATCACAGTTTTGATCTTCTGCAAAGGGGCTGAACGATCTGAAGTTTGGTATTTTACTGTAGAATAGGTTAACGAGGACCGATACAAAGTTACAGTTCCTCAGTCCCTTGGCAGGGTGATCGAAGTGGTCACCCACCCGCTCACTGACAGCAGCCAGTGATGCTTAACTTTGGTGATCGACTGGGAACAGTATTTTACGATAAACCAACTGTGGGACCATCTGAAGCGAGATTATTGTTTTGTGAAAACCATGAAAATAGTTGCTTGCTTGCTTTCGTATGCCTGTTTAGGCAGAGGGTTGCGATTGTTCTTTCTTTCCAGTGGCGCCATCTATGGCCAAGAATTTGACTTCTGCCACATATGTCTGGGTGTGCCATACGTCACACCCGTTCATAGGACGGACCCATTCATACATCCATTCATTCATCCACAGATCGTAATTTTGACCTGAATCAGAGAACGATCGATCTCCAATCCAGTATCCCCAGAGGTGATGATTTGTCATGGGAACATGGAGGACTTTTGCGACTCGACAGATTTAGCGTGCATCAGTCACCATTTACTACACGGGGAGTGGTTCGAACCCACGAGTAAGAACTAAACTAAAATAGTTTTCCCGTTAAAGGAATAAAGATTTTATATTTGAAAACACTTTAACCTTTTTTTTTCAGACGTAGATATGGATGTTGTGCTGAAAAAAAAAATTCATTATTTTTTGAAAATTTAAGGGCGTATAAAACATATTCATAAATTTTCCTAAATTTCTTTTAATGTAAAAAGTCGATACAGTTTATGAATGTTTTATGTATTTATATTTTAATTGAAATATAAAGCATGCAATAAAAATTGCAGTTCTGATTTTATAATTTTAAATAATATTTGTATTTTTGAGGAAAAATATTTTTGTCAGGGGAAAAAAATGCTCACAGTATACTTCCATCTGTTACACAAAGCACTTTTTTTTAAACAAATAATTTTTAAATAAGAAAAAGTAATAAAAAGAAATCCTGTCTTGAAATTGATAAATAAAGCTAAATTTGAACGTACAGAAAAATTTTAGAGTAGAACTTAAGAGCAGTAATTAATTCACTAACACAGTTTTTCACAATTCAGATGCATTTCAGAACTTTACGTACTATTAGAAAAAAAAAACATTTTCTATTTCTTATAATAAATATGCGAATATTTATCAAAATTGAATCGAATCCAGAACAAATCTTTAAAGATAAATAACTGTAATTTTAATTGAAACAAAGATATTTTTGTTGGATATATAAATACTTAATTTACATAATACGCATAAATTTAATATAATATAAAGTTTCAAACGAGGAAGTGATTTGGATACATCCGGCATGCATTTCATGCAGTGTTATTTATAATAATGCAATTTTCATTTAGAATATACTTGATAATCTCTATTCTTTGAATAAAACTGTATATATTTTGTATTTTTGTCCAATGGAGACTACTTAAATATGTTAAATCTCAAATATCTTCGAGTTTTACTAACTTTCATCTACAGCATCTTCTTACAACAAAATATTTCCAACATCTTCATCATTACCTTTTGCTCTTCTACAAAAAACCCTTAGGCTTCGGCAAACGCATACCTGCGCGTCTTTACAACCAATCAAAAACCTTCTCTCTCAACTCACCTGTCTTTCTACCTCGGAAGCCAATAGCAACTCTTCTTAAATAACATTCTTTTGCAAATTCAACCTGTTGACGTTAACAAACTTATTTTCTCCCAAATGGTTTCTGAATCGCGGCTCGATTCTTCTGCAGGACCAGTTGTTTGGATTTACGCTCTGTGTAAATTTTTTTGAGGTGTAAATATTTGTTGTGATATGTATGGTGCGCGCATGTGTGTAGCTGTTTTGGTGTGTCTTAGGTGATAATCATATTGGAATTGTACAAAATCGTGGTGCTACCCTGTTAAACTTGAGTGGATTTTTATTTTAAAAGTGTGCAGCGTTTAATATGTAAGGTAAGTAATTGTTTATGTCGGCTTTGTTAAAAGTAAGATGGCCTATTTTGTAAATAAGAATTTATGCGGGTGGTATACTTGGAAATATTGAAACAGGTGTTAAAGCATTGGCCATTCTTAAGATTTGTTTTTCATTGAAATAATGTGTCATATTCTTATCAAAACGCATACATATATAAATAAATAATTATGTAAATATCATACTGAATTGTTTAAAGGATTCGTTATTTATATTCTAACTTAGAAAATGAAAATAGAATGTTCAATCAAATATCTTAGATTTGATATTTAGAAAATGGTCAATAAGAATTGCTTTTTTTTCTTTTTCTCAGCAATTTATAGAATATTTTAGGTGAACTAAAAGTATTAAATGCTATAAGGATTAGCCAGGTCCCAGTATGGATATTTACCGTTCGATTTTCCTTTGAAAATTCTTAATAGAATATTAAGGAAAATTCTTGTGAATAGAAATTTAACTGCACTTGATTAGTTTAATGTTTTATCTATTTCGTATTTTATTAAATTCGATGTTTCACATATAGCAAAAATTTTGATTTTCGTTACACAATGTGATAAATAATACATTGTATACGTTCAATAAATCAATAATTGTTTATTTGTATTTTGGTCTGGAGTTTGTAATGAGTTAACAAACGTGCAGGTTGTGTACGAGCAGAATTAATTTTTTTTAAAATTTTTTATTTATTTATTTTTTTTATTTATTTAGAAACGACATGATTTGAGTGCTTTTTTTTCGTAACTAAGTTCTTGATTTTTTTTCTCCTTTCATTGGATAGATTATATTTCTCACTAGTACTTGTATTTCAACATTATGAAACTGAATATTTTTTACAAAATTATATATTTTCAAAACATTGGATCCACACAAACTTATATACATGAGCTTTGAAACGCCCTGCGCATAAGTGATTCGATAAAGAACTTGGAGCAATAAAGTTTAGAAAGGATTAGAATTACACAACCGAAATTTTTTTTTTTTTCTGAATTAAAAAGAACACGTTTTTTCAAAAAAAGTTTTTTAACAAAATTTTATTTTAAAAACTTTGTGATATTTTGATTAAAAAATATATATTTATCCAAAGTATTTTTTAAAAAAATTATAAATAACCTTATTTTAGTCATCTAATATAAATCAAAATATTTTTATAAGCTAAGTTTGCTTATAATTTAGTTAAGTCTTTTTAGATTTTATTTAGCTAATAATATTTTTAATTTGACTAAAATTTTTTAAAAGTAGCACAATTGTATATGAATTATTTCTCCATATATTGCTCTAATGTGATTACTTTAATGTTTTGAAAAGCGATGAAATAATTTTTTATCCATCAGACCTAAATTGCTTTGCACATTTGTTTATCGTTTAAAATGATTTAAAGTCTTAAATGTGCTGAAATAGAACTCTAGTCAAAAGAATCTAGTAAATTGTAACCTTAATGAGTGCATGATGTGCGCTTCTTTCGTTCTGTTTCATTCAGTTTTTGATTAATTTTCAGTTCATTTTCATTCAGTTTTCATTCAGTTTCCTAAGTGTAAAATATGTTGAAAAAAATTGACCCAATTAGTTATGGAAGGAAATGTAAAATGAACATTTTTTCCTCTTAAAAAATTGAAATTATAGTAACCTTGAATGTCAGTCAATAATTTTGAGATGTTACATATTTGAGAACCTACGCAAGTTTCACAGGTCAACCAAAACTTTCATTCAACCAGCTGAAATAAATAAATGAAAAAAAAAGCAAACCTCAAAATTATTCTTTTTTATTTTACGTATCGTTGAATTTACAATTGTGAGTTTAAGAACGTAATGTCTTAAGTCTGCTCAGTGTAGTCCTATATACATTCTCCCATTAAGTTTTTCAAATTTTAAGACATCTTGTTGATTTTTTAGAGCTCATTTTACGAAATTCCCTAAAACTATGGATTTACGCGTTTTTCCACTAAACTTTTTTATTTTTACGTAGCTTGCTGGTGTTTCTTTTATTGGCTCATTGAGCTGCGCGATGGCTCAGGGGATAGAGCATTCGCCTTCTAATGAAGCGAACCAGGTTCGAATCCCAGTCGATACGAATTCCACATCCGGCTTGCACCGACCACAGTGCTGATGTGAAATATCCTCAGTGGTAGATGGATCATGGGTCAGAGTCGCTTGCCGTCCAGCTAACCGTGGGAGGTTCTCGTGGTCTTCTTCTCCATGTAGCGCAAAAGCGTGTTAGCTCCATCAAAAAGTCCTCCATGAAGGCAAATTTCCTCCAATACTCGATCCAGGAGTTCCCTTGTCTTCCGCGTTGGGTTTAAAATTGCAAGCCTACGGAGTTTAACATTAGTAGTCGTAAACCCATAAAATTGGGTCGACTGTTCAACGACGGTTAAAATATAAAATATTAAATATTAGCTCATTGAAATTCTATAAAAATATCACTTATCATTTTCCTCCATTAAGATTTTAAATTTTTAAAACGGTTAGTTAACGTTTCTATTGCTCAGTTTTTAATTTTTTTTTTTATTTACTAAAAATATCCTTTAGCATGTTCTCTCAAATAAACATTTCCATTTTTATACCAGCTTCTTGACGTTAATATAGCTAATTTTCTGAAATTTGCTAAAAGTATCAGTTTACACGTTTTTCCTTTTTAAGCTTTTTCAATTTTTAAAACAGTTTACGTTTATAATTCTCAAATTTTTTTTTAAATTCCTTGAAAATATCACTTAGCACGATCTCTTAATAAACATTTCCATTTTTAAACCAGCTTGTTGACCTTTCAATAGCCGATTTTCAGAAATTCCTTAAAAGTATCGCATTACATTCTTCCCTTTTAGCTTTTTCATTTTTTTCCGCAGCTTATTGACGTTACTAATGTTCATTTTCTGAAATTCTCTAAAAATGTAACTTAACATCATCTTCCACTAAACTTTTCAATTGTTAACAGTGATTACTGGAAATATCTTCCGCATTCAGAAATATACGAAAAACTTACCTTGAAATTTCAGGTCATGGTTATTTCATTTTCCTGTTTCAAAAGGGATGTGGGGAATATAAATTTTTATTTTTCCTCCCTTCTACTTTACCTTAAAAGATCACTTACCTTTTTAAAATTATGACATCACAGTGAGGTCATTTATTTACAACGCATGACGTTTGGTGAGTCATTCTAGTTTCACTAGATAGAGAATTAAAGATTCGTTTAAAGTTTATTTCGTTTTTTCTCGTGTGTTTTTGAAAATAAAAGCATTAATTTTATTATTGCTTTAGCGTTAAATCTGTTTAGAACTATCAATATTCTCATACTTTCAAAATATTTTTTGTAAGGCTTCTTTGTAGATTATTTTTGTGCCGATTTCATATATATTTTTGAATTATCGATATTCTCAGACTTTCAAAATATATCTATATTTTTGTAGATTTTTGTTTATTTTATTTATAATTTAGAATTATCTAGAATCTCAAACTTTCAAAATACTTTTTTTCTTTGGAATATTTCTTTGGATCTTCAAATTTTTCTGAAGTTTTCGTCCATTTCATACATAAATTTTAATTAGAAAAATGAAATATTTTTTGTTTACCAGCAATGCTTCTAATATACTGGCAATGTTATCATGGATTATTATGCACGGCTTGCCACAAACAATTTTTCATTTCAGAAAAAATAAATTCTAAGCCTGTTTTTCTTAACACTAAATTGCCCAAGGAAGTCATTTTGACTGCTTTTTAATTTCAATTAGAAAAACAATGATGCATATAATGACACAATTTCTTAGAATTTAGTGACTTTATAATTATTTTTATTGTTGATATTTACTAATAACTTGTTATATAATTGAAAATAATATCAAAAATATTAAAAATTAGTTTTAATTTTTTTTTTATACATTAGTTATTCTTTCACAATGCAGTTATTTTGACTGCTTTTGGGCAATATAGGTATTTCAGTCTTTCTAGTGTTAAACACCTATTTTAAAATTAATCTATAAGGTTTAATAATAATAAAAAATTAAGGTTTTGTAAAATTAATCTATATGAATTTATTATTTTAAAACTAATAGAGAAAATTTTGGAGATTGTTAAGAAAGCAGTGTTTGAATTTTCCTAAATATTCTCGTTTGTAAGATCATGAAGTTAGTACAGTTATGAAGGCAGTACTAGCAATTCAGAAACAAAGCCCTATTTTAGATCATATTTCAAATTTTATTTGTGAATTTCGGGCGTTAATGACATTTTTGAGAACAAAAATAATGATTATAGTGTACTTATTTTGGCAAGAAAATATATAGACAAATAATATAATAATCTGCTAACTTAAAAAGGTTCTTATTTTGACAAAAATACATGCTGTCACATCTTTTTATATACTTCAAGTGTGAAATTTGTGGATGACTTCTAAGTTTTGATGGTCTTTTAAAAATATCTCAACAGTTTCACATCGGTCAATTTTTTTTTTCAAAATTTATGCGCTTGTAAGCAATTAAATGATAAGCTACTTATTCAATTTTCTTATGAGAGATTGTTTGTATAACACTACTAAGAGGGCAATACGATGTTTTATGCTGTTATCAAGCGGAGTTTCCAGGAACTTATTAAGTACTTATCTGGAAATAATACTAAGAGACAATTTAATGTAAATATGCTACTTTTGAAATGGGAGGACTTATAATTTTATTGCCCCATGGCAAAAATTCAAGGAGTGAAAATATTGCTCTCAGAGAATTACATTACAGAGGCTCACTCACTCTACAAAAATGTAACTGCGAATGTCCTAAATTAGGCCGACCGGCCTGTGTAGGGGTCAGGGAACTGGCCTTGCACCAGAAAGGTTCTAGATTCAAATCCCGGACAAGGCATCGATGTTCTTTCCTTCTCAGTACTATCTGTCCTTACAGTGGGAACTACGTGGGCACACTTAATATGGTGTCTTTTAAAGAGTGTCCAACAAAACTGCCTTTCAGATATCTGTACGAGGTCGTTCTCCAGGTGAACATTGGAA